TACCAACTGCATGAAAATATTGCTAATTGCGTGGATAATGGCAAATGATCTCCTTTTGCGATACAGTGCGCAAGTGAAAACGATTGAATTTCACGGCTTTCTTAGAAATGCTCGGATGGTTGCCTGATCCTAGGCACAAGCGATTTGTTACAGGCGAGGTGGAACCATTGTTAAAGTGTAGGTGAGCCAGCAAAATGACTATAATTTTCTTGCTGAATTTTTGAATAATCTAATTTTAGTGGTAATACCGACATTCAGTTGGTCAACAGGCCGTGCGTACAGAATCGTGAATGTACAGCATTTTTTGTGTTTTGGATCATCATTTCAAGAACAATAATTTTGTATGGAACCTTCTGATAAATACAAATGAAAATTGGTTCAGTTGACCAAATCAATGCATATTCTAAAGGGGGATATGTCCCATTTTAGAAAACCGCAATGATTATGGTGGCGAGACAAAAACTGTAATAACAATACACATTAAATCTACACGTTCTGATCCCTTGTTGATTCTAATGCATGTAAAGTAATAAAATCAATCAGAACATTGAATGGCACACATCACATGCTCTCAGCATATTTGGTCAGTTGTTTGATCCACACTATCCGAAAACCTTCACTACGCGTTGATATGCAAAATAGTCAAAGAGTCAAAACAAGATAGAATCAAATCCAGTTCAATATCTTGATAATATCACTTCCAATACGGTGATAATAACTACGTCTTCAATCAACCGCCAACTAGAATTATGCGCAAATGATAACTGAATAATTAGGTCATCAACAACAACTCGAAAACAACTATCAGTTCAATTATGCGTTTATGACGGAAAAAACAATGGAATTAGGGTCATCATTGAGTATAAATAAGTTGATTATCCGTTCGTTTATGATCAATCGCATTGGTGAATATGTATGAGGAGAAACTTATCGCTGGAGTTGCTGCGCTATGCAGCACAGCAGCTATCGTTGCTTGCATTATTGTGATACCATCACTCTACAACACAATCAGCGAAATGCAAGAACAAGTGATTGGTGGAGTTGAGGTTATTCTTTGAATTTTTTGTAGCTTTTTAATTATTCTGCCGACTCAATTTGGCCACAATATCATCTGGAATATCGTTCAGTGAATATATATTTTCAATGATTGTGTTCACTATTTGTCAATTTATTCAATNAAAATTTAGTAATCACAGTTGACCGAACTGTATTCGAATAGATCAAAGTTTAGATCAGTACTATGTTATGTCGTATTCAGCAGTTGAAGATTTTATCCTTTGATATGATTTATATGATATGATAGTTTATTGCACTTTTATTATATTTATTTTTTTAATATTGTCGAGTACGTTGGCCGATGGTTTCTAACGATAGTTTCATTGCGTACAGGTATTCCGCGTTGAGACCGATACTGCATGGAACGAAATGATGGACGTGCAGGTTCAAATGACCACGCCCGGCAAACCGCGTGAGAATCCTTTCGGCAGCATCTTCCGTTCAAAACGTCAAAGCTTGAATGGTCTTCCAGACTTCTGCGTTTGTGAAATTCAACCACTCAGATGCCCACCTGGACCACAAGGAGAACCTGGAGTGGCAGGAGACGATGGACGTTAGTAGTATTTGATTCCGTCATCGTTTATTCATTTTCAAAAGAAATTGTTTCTGAACGATATTTTGATATTATTGTCTTCTGGAAAAGCTGTCAGGCACATTGATTCAAATGACAAACACCAAAAGATAAATAATCATGGCTAAAATTTCAGCACCCGGACCTCCCGGAGTACCAGGAGAGGATGACCTTTCAACATTCGCACCAATCGAATGTCCTGAATATCAGCCACCATGCATTCAGTGCCCAGCTGGAGATGATGGACCACCAGGACCTGATGGACCAGCAGGCCCACCAGGACCATTCGGCAATGCCGGACAACGCGGACAGAGAGGTCCATCTGGAGCACGTGGTAAACGTGGTGAATTTGGTGAGGCTGGACCACAAGGATTACAAGGACACAGTGGTCCAAGAGGCCCACCAGGCAAGAGCGCACAACGCATCATGGGCTTGCCAGGATCAAAGGGACCATCAGGACAATCAGGAGTTCGCGGAAGAGCAGGACCACCAGGTGAACAAGGCCTCGATGGCGCACCTGGATTAGCCGGAAAACCTGGAGTCAACGGATTGGCAGGTGTCCGAGGTATCGATGGTGCACCTGGAGAGTCAGGAAAGCCTGGACAAGTTGGCAAAGACGCTCAATACTGTTCTTGCCCACCTCTCACAGAGGCATAAAGCAACCAGTGATTTTTCTGCTATCGATAGTGATTATGATAAACTCCTGTTCATCATAACCGTGTTGCTAAATTATTCGCGAATAAATCCTTTTTTCGCATCACTCAAATTTTGTTAACCGGTTAAAGCGAATAAACTCACAAAAGATGTAATTTTCATACATCAAGATTTGTGCTCCAATGGGTGGGAATCGCCATTTCCCATTGAGAGTGTTTACACTGAAACATTAGGTAATGATTACAGTTCAATGGAGTAGGGTTATTGGGATCCACAACTTAAAGTGGGAACAATATTAGAGTTGGACATTCATGAGGGATCATTGAAATCATTGTGAAAATAGTGATACGCATCCCACAATCTGAACATCACACATTCTATGATATGAACACTCAGCACACTTAAAACCAGCAATGCTGACAAAATTGTAGCAGTCTATCATAAAATACTTAAGTGACATTACGAGGCTGAACTCCTAAATACTTTTTAAATTAATTCGATATCAGCTATCTTTCAGTTGATTCTAGCCCAAGCAACCAATTACAATTATGAGTTGGAGTAAATTAGGATCTTGGATGTTCAGTTGCGCATGTCATCTGATGTTCTTTC